CCCCTCGACCTCGCCCCCTCGCCGCCCCACTCCAACCCCCCTCCTTCCTGACCTCGCCTCCCCCAGGACCCCTGCCCCCATTCAACCCCCCTGTTCCCCACCCTCTGACCGCCCTGACCACCCCCCAAACTCCCCTGCCCTCTATCCAATCCCCCCGCTCCCTGCCCCCTTACAGCACTGCCTGGAGCACCAGTGGCTGGCGGAGCTATAGCCGCGCCTCCCAGAGCACTGGGACAGGGAGCCATGCCGACCGGCTGGAGCCAGCCACGCGACCGCACAGCACAGAACACCGGATCAGGCCACTGCCCGGCAGCTGCGCTTCCCAGCAAGAGCTCACAGCCCCGCTGCCCAGAGCACTGCGCCAGTGTGCAGTGAGCTGAGGCTGTGGAGGAGGGGAAACAGCAGGGGAAGGGCTGGGGTCTAGCCTCCCCTAGCTCAAGGACCAGGCAAGAGGGTCCCGCAGGCCGGAAGTGGCCCACGGGCAGTAGTTTGCCCACCTCTGTATTAGACACACCTTTCTCCTGTGATGTGGGCATGACCAGATATGAAGCCTGGGCTCTGGTAGGAGGGACAACAGCAGTCCTGGATATTGAGGCATGCTGCCAGGCAAACAAGCTGGAATGTTTTGAAAATTTGCAGTGACACATTTTCCAGATAGGCCTCCCTCTGCACTGGAGCTTGTCTACAGCAGGGCACTGAGCCACACCACTCTGGCTGGGGCCACAAAGGGCCAGCACAGCTCTGTGCTCCTAGCCACAGCACTGCTGCATGCAGGCTGGTCTCCATGTAGGGTTGCCAGGTGTCTGGTTTTCGGTGGCTGGGAACCATGGCCAATGGGAGTTGGGGGGGGGGGCGGAGGAAGCGCACAGAGCTGCCTGGCCATAGCTCTGCATAGGAGCTAGAGGGGGGACAAGCCGCTGCTTCCGGGAGCTGCCTGACGTAAGCGCAGCCCGGAGCCTGCACCTCAACCCCCTTCCCCAGCCCTGATCCCCCTCCTGGCCTCCAAGCCCCTTGATCTCAGCCCAGAGCACCCTGCTGCACCCCCAACCTCTCATCCCCGCCCCTCCCCCGTGAAAATGAGCGAGCGAGGGGGGCGGGGAGATGGAGTGGGTGGGGCAGAGTGTTCTGTTTTGTGCTAGTGGAAAGTTGGCCAGCCTGGGCTCCAGAGCAGAGGCCTCACTGCCCCACCTGCCCAGCACAAGGGGCAGCAGCCTCAGACTCTGGCTCCTTTCTCGGGGTGAGCAAAAGGCTGAGCCCCGCCCCCAGCACTTGCACAGCCCCGCCCCCGCCCAGGCGCACCCACCCCACGCCCAAAGACGCATGCGCAGCACCTATGGTGCGCCCCCCCCCCTTGTATACAGGCTCCCTCTGGGAAGGTGAAGCATTGACAACACGACGCATGCGCACTAGCCCCACCCCGCCTCTTCCCCCGGCCAGGCAAACTGACCCTGGGGGAGTGGAGTGGCGGCAGAGCCCGGACGCATGCGCAATGGCTACTGTCCTTGCGCCCCTACCCAAGGAGTCGGTGGCCCCTTGAGACAGTGCGCGCGAGGGGCGTGGCTGAGTTCTGGCGCATGCGCCCCAGGTAGGAGCCACAGCCCTGGAGTAATTTGAACGGGAAGCGCCGCTAGCGCGAGCCGGCCAAGTGGGGACAGGTGCTTGCGCCTCTCCTACCCCCGCCCACGGGAGAGCATCGTCCCAGCCGCTTACCTTGCGCGTCATGGCCCGGCCGCAGCCCAGCAGCGAGGAGGCCGCCATGTCTGTGTCCCCCGAACCGGTCCCCCAACGCCTCGGGGAAACCCGGCACCAGCAGCAAACGTACCCACCTCTCGGGGGCCTCGTTCTGAATGTCCCCGCGGCGTGGGCGGGGCCTCGGTGTAGAGACGCCCGCCCCCGGCAGGCAGAGTTCCATCTGCCCCGCCCACCGCCACAGGAGCCCGCCCCTCGTCCCCGCCCCACCGCCGCGCTCGCTGGTGCGGCTGGCAGCATGCGCGTGACAGCCCCACCTAAGTGAGGAGCCTCCACTCCCTGTGAGGGGACCGGCCCCCCTCTCACAGCGGGGGGAGCTGAAGCACAGAGTGCAAGTCAGGGTGACCTGTCCAAGAGCACGTCCAGCGAAACAGGAGAAGCGCTGGGGATCCTATTGGGTATTGGGAAGTGCATACTCCCTCCAGCCTGGTGGCAGAGGGCTAGGAGGACTTATGTCCCTGATACTGCGGTCATGACTTCACATCCCTGTGCTTCAGCCACAGCACAGGACTATCCTGCCCCATGTATAGACTAAGTGCCAGTCCTGAAGCATCCGAAGAACGGGAGAGAAGGTTGGCTATGATCGTTTGTAAAGACAAAGATTTTCCAACAAGACATTATTCGCTCTTTTCAGTGTAGTTTTCTAAGGCCTCAATCCTGCAGAACACCAACTACTAAACAGAGGGCTTACTACCTCCAGTATTAAGTGTTGTGCAAGATTAGATCTTAATTTGCAGGGCACCAGTATATTAGCAAGGAGCATGCCATATAATTAAATTTTTGCTTGGAAATATGAACACAATGCATAACAAAGTCTAAATTGCTTGCAATAACAGGTGAAGGTGCAGTGACATTTTAAAAATACCTTAACTAGTTATAGTGATATTAGAAAAACACTTTTAGACAGTGCTAAATGAAATAAGTATTATCAATTACATTTTAGGACTGTATGCACAGAATCAACCCCCTGAAGTATCCAGTGTTACTATCTAGAATGATAATTTCTAACATTTATAGAACATACACTAGGACTCCTTTTTCAAAACACAGTTCAAACATTAACTAATAATTATCAAAGTACATGTCAAGTAAGTACACATTGTTATCCATATTTTACAAATGGTGAAACTGAACAATCAAGGACATAAATTCTGTCTCAAAGTTCTCAGCATACTTTGACAATTTACTTCCATCCAGGTTCCTGCACACAGAGCTCTTTGTAGGATCAGAGCCTAAATTACTTGGCCTAGGACCTATGGCAAGTATGTGACAGATGTAGGCTTTAGAATTCAGGAAAACTGCCTTAGTTCATACCACTAAACTACACTGCCTTCTAAAACTAGACTTAAATAAACTGTTACTTGCAGAGACTTTTATTAAAAAGAAAAATCTAGGGACTAAAGTGTAGCAAATTTAGATTGAATCACTTCTAGTTTATATATTCATAGTATAATTTGTACTGATAATATTAATTAAAGCTTCCTGCTTTTTAATAAAATCTTGACTTTCTATAAAGCTTTGCCCTATGAAAGTTATAATTTACACAGACCAAAAGTAGAACAGACTTATTTGCTGATTTGAGGGAAAATACCTTTGATTCTTAGGCCCCACTTCTACAAACATCCATGTATGAATAATTTTACAGACATGAATTATCTCATTAACTTCAGTCAAACTACTCGTGCATAAATTTAAAGTGTCTGCAAAATCTGGGATATTAGTCAATGTTTAAGGGACACTGTCAATTTGCATTTTT